TAATAATAGCAATAATAATAATACAATAATTTGAAGAAATGATAAGTAGTACATTCAGATTGGAGAATATTTCGGTATTTTGAGCGAATGTCACTTGGCCATAGGACAATATTGTATGGCAAGAAAATGGGCCAGAAAAGAATTGAAAATAGCAACCAGCAGTGGATCATTGAAACTTGAAGCTGATTCATTAAGGTAATTAAAGTTTTCAAAACTTCATTTTCCCATTCAATGAAATAATTTGGAAGCAAATCTGATTTAATTTAAATTTTGTTAATTTATTCTTGACCCGAAATTAAACTTCTCTACAACTTTTCTTAACTGAGCTTGAAATTGCAATTAGTTACAATCAAAGTTTCTGAAACAACAAATTCTTTTTTCGTTACAATTAGGAATTTATCCAATATTTATCAAGCAATCAATGATTATTCAAATGCTATAATTCTATGGGATAAATATTGCGCCCTCATTTCTGATCAAGGCATTGGTTTGTTTGTTTTTTTCTTTTTTTTTTTTTAATTCTGTTAAAGATTTCATTAATCTGGTACCGAAGTCTTGAATGTCATAGGTTATTACGACGGATTAAAATCAATTAATTAGCATTTAGTGATTGCCTTTGTAATGAATGACTATAAGTTTCCGCGACTTTAAAGAATATCAACAACTAAACAAAACACTGATAAGCAAAGCAATTAATATAATTAAGAATGAAAATTGAAATATCTTTTCATTATGGCAAATTTACAGATATTCGTCTTAATGGTTTGCGCAGATTAGCTGAATTATATCAAAAATTAAATCAATTTGAACGGGCTGAAATGGCATTGTTGGAAAATTTAAAACTTACCAAGAAAATTGGCGCCTATGCACTAATCATTGATGCGCACACTGATATCTATCAGTTCTATCGAACGATGTATAGAAAGGTGACAATTCCGTCTATTTTAAGAAGTCTCAAGACACATCTTATGAATGCTTATCACAATGTTATCAGTGGTGTATAATCCACTTGTAAGAATTACGCTGATAACTGGCCTATTTCATTTATCAGCTAGGATTTTTCATTGTATTCATCCATTGATTTGTTCATTTCATTTAATTTATTGAATTTTCAAATTGAATTTTCGAATACTTCAAGTATATATTCATGCAAAATTTATCATTTTAATGGATAATTATAGAAATTGAAAAAAAATTTAATATTCGGGAAAAATATACCAACAATCATTATGATGGAACAATTTAAAATAATTAAAAATTTGAATCAGAAAATAAATTTAAAAAATTTATTTTCTGAATTAAGAAAATAAATTCAACATTTCAAAGAAAGAAAAAATGGCGAGACTTTGTTTAAGGATGAAGCGCAAAAGCATTGGAAGGAAGCGCAACAAATATATTTGAAGTATAATGTGAAGGAAAGAGAAGCTTTAATTAATGAAATAAATGGCGATAATTATTTTGATTGCAATTCTTATGAGGAAGCGATCGATGCATACAATCGTTGTTTAATGCTTGTACAAGAAGATGATAATCTTCAGAAGGAAGCTAAAGTTTTATTTTAAGTTCACCAATTGTTTCTCTTTTCTTTTTCGATTTATTTTTTTGGTTTAAGGATAAATTTTTCAATTTATATTTGATTATATTATTATGGCGAATTCAAAAAGTGAAAATTTAGTCTGTTGAATTAATTAATTGATCAATTAATTATTGCTATTAATAAAATAGTATTTTAAACTAATATATTATTTTTTTTCAAAATTATATTGAATTATTAATGTCTTTTTTCAGTTCAAAAGTAAGTGTTCAAATTTTCACATTTAATTACGTGATGGAATTTAAATTTAAAAAATTGAGCATAAATGATTCATTTGGTTGCTTTGACTAATTATTAAATATAATTAATAGCTATGCAATAAATTGGGAACGACACATTGGTTATTATATCATCCAGACGAAGCACTGGCATATTATCAACAATCACTAATTGTTTGTCAACAACTATCCGACCTGGAAAGTATGCTGGAATTATACAATGCGATGGCAAATATTCATTTCAAGAAAGGAATGATGGATGTATGCCACTCATGTCTGAGGTACTTTTAGAAAATTCGAAATGATAAGATTGAAATCAATTAATGGCCAACATTTTAACTTAGTAAGCAGTAGGCTTATTTTTTTTTAATATAATAATATAAAAAAGCTTGAACAAAGCAATACAAATTAGCTAATAGCGCATGATTAATAAAAGGAAAAAAGAAGGAACATGAAGAAATTCATGAAATTGCCAAATATTTAATAAGTCAAAATTAAAATAAGCTTATATTTGTTGCATGTGATAGAATATTTATCACAAGATGAATTTGATTTTAAAATAATAAATATCATATTCAAATTAGGTCAGCTGCACAATTTTAGCTAGGTCACCTATTATATAAATATAGAGTACTTGGGAGAAATTCATTCAAATCTAGATTGAATATTAAAAATTGAAGAAGGAAAAGGAAAAATTGAAAGCAAAAATACTTCAATTAGCCAAATGAAATAATAAAATGCATTAATTTTAAAAAGAAAACATTCGAAATTAATGTTATCGTGTAGGATTAAATTTTGGTCAAAATTTTAACAAATATTTAATTTACCGAATGTCATTTGTTTTTGATAACTACTTATATTATTACCTAAAAAAAAAAAATCCAGGTGTTACCTAACACTTGCTGTTATATTATCAAAGGATACAGCCCGTTTAAATGCATTCATATCAATTGGACGTACATTATTAATTCGTCAACGATACATAGAAGCAAAAAAAATTTTTACAAAAGCATTAAATTTAACGAGTGAAACAGATTATCGACGTGAACGTGGCCTAATTTACGGTTATATAGCGGAATGTTACCTTGGAATAGGTGAAAAAACAAAGGTATGTATCTTTACCTCTCCCTTCTTCTTTTCTTTTTTTTTTAGCATGTTATCATAATTTGAATAGCATGTAACAATTGAAAGTTAAAAATTTCATAATATGAAAATTGAAACTGGAGAAATTAAAATAAATATTTAATTTTGTAGTAAAGAAAGAATGAATGCAAACTTTAATTTCGTTGTAATTTTGTTCTTTTATTGTCGCACAATTTTTTTATTAATTAAGCAATAGTTTATTGAAATTACTTTAAGTGTTCAACTTAATAAAAGCAATTATTTTGATTATTTGGATTGAATAGTTTCAGGCATCACTCAATTTTTGCAAACAAATTCCATTTTTTGATGATATCGATGATATCGAAGGAAAATGTGAAACGTTAAGACATCTGATCGAAGAGAAACGATTAATTAAAGATGTTAATTGGACTATGCAAATTTGTAACAATAGAATTGAGCTATCACAAATGGGATCAATTGATTTACAGGTTATATCACCAATAAAATCTTTTCTGTAATGCCAAAAATAAATTCCAAATTAACTGCAGAACAATATTTGGGTATTATGTAAAATTGAATTGGATGAGATAAAAATTTTCAAAACTTTTAATTGAGCATGAAATTTCTTTGTTTAACGCTTCAGCTTTAATGATAATTAACTTGCAAATTATACATTTATGCTTCATTTTCATCTAGAAATCATTTTTCTTTTTTCAGGTTGAAATTTTGAAAGAATCAGCAGAAATAGCAACAAATTTATTAGAGTTATGGGAAGCATGCAAATTTCTAGAGAAAGCAGTGATATTATGCATTGCTAACAAATGTGGCAATATTTTAAATTTGTTGTTAAATTTAAAAAGTAAATATTTGAAATGTAATGCAAGGAAACGAGCCATAATGCTATTTGGAGAATGCTTAAATGCTATTGGAAATGATACAAATGACCAATTTCTAATACAACTTGAACTTGGGAAGCTGGAATTGGATGAAGGTATGACAAGTAATGTTATTGCTCATATCACAGATTTAAAGGAAAAATGTCAAGATAAGGTTAGATTGGATATTGCTTCTTTTAAATATTAAACTTTTTTTTTTAGCTCATATCAATTACTATTGTTTTTACTCAAAATTTGAATTGAAAATTAGCATAAATAATTTCAATGCATTTTCAGTAATATGTTTTGGTAGAGAAAAAGGATTTTTTTTTCATTCGAAATTGCACTTTTATTTAATTGTTTAAGTAGTTTGCTAATTAATGAATATAAGGTCAGATTGGTCTAATTGAATAACAAATAATAATTTATTACTGTTTGGTTTTGACAGCTAATATTTTAATGTGTGATATTAATTAAGCAATAATACTGATCGATTCAATTTTTCAACATTTTCTTTGATTTTATTACGAAAGATAGCAGTTTAATACGGTATTCAAATGGTCATTTAAATTAATTTTGCAGAATATGAAGGCTACGTGCGAATATATTCTTGCATGCGCTTACTATGACAATAGGAATTACATCGATGCCCTGTATCACATGCAGAATTTTGAAAATTTGAAAAAAAACTTATCAGCAAGTCAAAAAGAAATGCTTAAATTAGAGCTTTTGTTAATTGAATGGAATTGCAATGCTTCTGATCATGCAATTGAAGAAATACAGGACATTGCGGCAAAAAGTAAATTGATTAAACTGATCGAAAGATGTTTTTCAACATCCTAAATCTGTTTTAAAAATTCTAAATCCACCTTTTAAAGCTTTTAAATCCATCTTTTAGAGATTCTAAATCCATCTTTTCAATTTCAGTAAAAGTGTTTTTCAAGACTGTTGTAAGTAATCAGCAATCTCGTGTATCTGAAAGGAAATCTTATAGCATATTAGTAAAAAAGTAATTGTAGAGAGTTTTATTTGAGAAAAAACTTGAGGATGAAGTATATTTTTCAGCTGATTCATCAATAATTTATCGAATTTTGGATGAATCATGCTTGTATGATTTGTTAAATCATGAGAAATTATCAAAAATAGCAGCAATTCACTGGATGATGACCAGAGGTGACTTTATCACTGCTAATCATTTCTTCGATTTGCACAAAAACATTTATCAAAATGATACTGAATATACTGCTGATATGGCATTATTATATTGGAATGAACAAAAATTTGAGGTAAGAGGTGAGAGAAAAAAGTTTGTTACATATATCGAATATATGATCCTATCGAGAAATTTTCCAATAAGTCTCGCGAGATGCTCAAGATACCAATCGGTTCTGAATCGCGATACTCTTATAAGCATATGTTTCAAATTTCTCAAAATATAGCATGACAAATATGGACAGCGATTGGATATGAACAATGTGACAAGTGTGGACAGTAAAAGGATATATAATCATGCGGCAAAGTGGACAGTAATGGGCAATAGAGAAATAGTGGGAATATATAATTAATCATATTCTGTTCTTTCTGATTGTTTTAACTTTCCAAGGAGAGAGAATTGGTTGACAGTTAATTAAACAACAATAATGAGCTTTTATAAGTGTTGTAGGAATGTGCCAATTTTCTGGAAGAATACTTAAGTCATTATTTGGAGAAAGATAATGTGGAAGAAGATTGCGAAGAATTATCACTGATACGCATTTATAACCGGCAACGAATAATTTTCGATTTTCTTCATATCGTTTTAATTTTATGCAAATGTATGCTATGTGCAGATATTGTAGAAACTATTACGGTTGCTGAGATTAAATTTTGGCGAGATTGTCAAAATAGACAACCATTCATCGAGTACAGTATGCCAACTATACAAAGTTCTCGAGAATACATTCAAAACTTGAAGGAGAGCTTATTGTATTGTCTACATTTGGATCGTTACAAGTTGGTATGGTACTTTGAAGTTGGTTAGTTATTACCAAATTTATTTTCTAATATCAAAGAATTAACACGGAAAACATATTATTTTGGAAGCAAAAATTACTTTAACATTGAGTAATTTCAACTTATTTGATTCTATCTTTGCTCTTTATCATTTTAGGTTACCTATTTAATTAAAATATTACTCGAAAGATAATCAGTGATATACTAGTCTTGACATTTTATAGTTATCACATATGTCTAAAGCAATACTTTATATGCATTATTTAATTTTAAACAAATAACGTAAACAGGTATTAATTCAACCATAGTAAGTCATTCCATTATCAACATCATTATAACCAGTTCTTATCATTAGATTATCAATAGTAATTACGTAATGAAGAAATACACTACTACATTGATACTAAAGAGAGCTTTCATAGTGACGAATTCAGGTCAAACTGGAAAATTGTACTATTGTCTCGACAATGCCGCCACTAGTAAAATGCCAATATTTTTTGTGCAATTCTTGGATCATATGTTTCACAGCATTGATACCATTTCGGCTTTAACTAATGACGAATTCGAGAAATTAGTATTCGAATCGGGATTCCTGGTAAATGTGAAGCATGCTGCTGATATCAGGAAGACACATCTGATTGCACTTAATGAACCAAAATATACGAAAAACCGGAAGGAACCCGAAATTGGAATACTTTACGCAGGAATGGATTCTGCGACTATTTCTTGGGAATATGTCCATCCAAATGATAAAACTGATTTCCTCTATAAAATACAGGTTTTTTTTCCACAGATTCATTTAAATTTTGAACCACAAAATTAAACCTGAGAAAAAACCGCAAGTTAATTGGAGAATAAATCAGTCTACCTTAAATTAATTACTCAGCAAATTTAATTTATCACAGCCATTAAAATATTACTGGATAGCGGACGATTTAAAAACATTTCATTGAGTACTTTCTCTTTTAGAAACAATTTTAAAATTTTACCTAAGGTAAAGGTGAAGAAGTATGCTCCATGGCAATCATTACCTGAATTTTATGTAATTTAGGTATCTTCGCTAGTAATTATTGATTTTACAAAAATGTCTACTGATATTGATAATGTTATCAATTCGCACTCCAATAATGACATTGTTATTTTACTAAATAATAAAACAGATGACGCAATTATCAATTTTCGAATTGCTAATACCCATTGTTTATTGGATATCAAACAGCAATCCATCCAGTCATTAACGCCATTTTTCGAAAAGGTATTTTTTTTAAAGAAATTATTGAATTGAAATTTTTAAGCTTTTCAAAAAATACCTAAAAATATTTCTGTTTGATAGAACTAACTGAGTACCGAATACTATTTGACTTTTCTTCCAGAAAAAAGAATTGGAAAATTAAATTTGATTTTTTTTTTCAAAGGAGGTGGAAAATACACTTTTCTCTTGCGAAATTTAGTAGGTTTCATGGAAATAATATCATTAAAACTTGGATTTTATTAAAATGTGAAACTATTTCAAATTTAATTTAGCTTATCAATGGATATTCGATGGAGGAATGCGCAGAATTATTACAATCTGTAAATGTACGACTGTTTGGCGATCGCTCTTCCAAAGTTCGTTTGAGCCGAGCGCAATGCACACGGAAGATGATTGTCGATATGGAAGATGGATTGCTCGGTAATTTAGTAATTAATGAGGATGATCAAAGGGAAATTGATAACTTTAAAGGTCAGTGTCTACTTTTGAAGTCCCTCATAATGTACCATTTTAAAAAATAAAAAAAAACAAAAAAAAAACTAAAAGAAGGATTAATCGTCCACCATTTATCTTCCCAACCTTTACTATAAAGTCATTCTGAACTGAAATTTATTTTTAACCCAATTCCTAAATTAAGTTATTATTCAGATTTGGAAATTATATCACAAACAAAAATCAATCCTAAAATTGCTGTAATAAAATTTGTTCTTCCTTATATTGCCCAAATTTATGCCATCTAATTAATTTTATTGTTTATTTAAAGGATTACCAACAGAAGTACAGCTTCATTTGTTAGAAATGATAAGATATCAGGTGAAAACAAATGAAATCCAACTATTTATGGAGAAACTAGAGGACATCTGTGACCACTGCAAAGATCCAACATTGTCGAATAACTGTGAAGTCGATAATTATCTGGAACAGATATCTGTCCAAAGAACGCAAAATGAGCAAAATTTTATTCTACAATTTATTAAACATCTTTTCAGAGGTTTTTTCAAAACTTCCGGCAGTCCTTTAACTGTCACATTGTATCACAAATTTTTAAATCTTCATTGAAATAGTTGAATTGAAGAATTAGAAATTTGATAGTATTTTCATCATATAACATCATAGAATTGTATGTAATATGCTAGTTTTTTCAAAGTACTGAAAAGTTCACATTGTCGTTTTGTGACCAATGAGTATTTGCAGATCATCTTTATGGTTTATATGACGAATTACAAACTTCAAAACTGGATAATCTCGAGGAATTGATGAAATCATTAGCAAATAATATTCGTATGATGAGGAAAAAACAACGGAGGAAATTAAGAGCACGAGGATATCATTCGGAAGGCGAAAGTATATTTTAAATTGGATATCAGAAGAAAAAACTTTACAGCTGTAAGAAATTTTACGAAATTTGTCAACCTTCCTTGATTTAGAGAGTTGAAAACAAGCTTTTATAGATTCTCGTCGCAGTTCCATGTCAGAAAATACTGATTCAGAAGCAGTTGTTGTTGATGTTGAACTTCAAGAATCTGAATAATCGGCATGTTTTCTATGCGTAAATTATGCGTAGATTACAACTCATTGAAAATATTTTTGATTAAAAGAACTGTCATAAATTGTTTTTGATGTCACCAGAACCAATATTAAACACTTATTATAAAATAATCACTAAAAATTGCAGAATGTATTACCTTTGGAAAATTTTGGAAAAATTGAGAGAATTGAAATAAAACAAGTATCCTCAAGTAAGTGAAATGAAGTTTAGAAGTGTTCATGAAAACGCATCCAATGCACAGAATAGAAATGTACAGAGTATTCAAAATGACAATATTAATGAAAGATCTTACAATATGGACGACAGTCGTTTCTGACAAAAAAAGTTCAGGCACAGATGGGTAATTTGAACATATATGAAAAAAGAACATTGCTATGAAAAGTTACAAGATCTCCACAGATCTTTCACAGAATCAGAAATAAAATGAAAACATCTTCCTTTGGTTCAGTCACAGAGAAAAAATTTCAATGGTAATTTGATTTATAATTAAAACCTTTCAATAAAATAAATTTTTACTCATCACTTATAACATAATTAGGATGAACAACGACAACAGGATCATCATCTGTTTCTGCGTTCAGCTGAATCAAAATATTATCTTCCGTGATAAGACGCCTGATAACGCGTTCACAGATAGTTTTCTGAAGGTTGTACTCCTCCTCCGAGTCGATGCTTTCTTCCATCATATCCAAATACCTAAGGGTTAACATCAAAAATACTAAATCATAAAAAAATTAGCTAAAGATTTCGAAACACTTTGTTTTAAGAAAAAATCAATTGCAAAAAGCAACCATTGAACAAGCTGTGATTGCCGGACGCCTTCCCAATTTTCAGTATTTTCCTCCGTTTCTTCATCATGTCTTATATGCAGTACTAACATATCGGCTATCCGTTTGTAAAGTTCAAATCTGTAAACTTAGTTTCACTGCAAAAAATAATGCCATACAGAAAAGAAAAGTATACACAAAAATGAATTATATATATATATATACTAAAAACTGTTGGTCTATTATAAGCCAAAGAAACTTACTTGATTTTCAACTTCCCAGAATCAACTTTTCTCGTCCCATCATCTTCAGTTCTGATCGTACTTCCCACCGCTTCTTGATTTCGTTCTCGAACAGCACTTAGCTCTGCTGTCTCTATCATCTAAATACTTATCACTTAAAAAATAGCACATTGCTGTTACGAATACCTTAATTTGATGTTCAATTTGTTACAAAAAAAAATTCTCATAATAACAGAAATAAATATGTTTACTTCAGCTTCCAGAAGTGCATCATCTTCTTGCAAAATAATATCAGGCTGTTCGATGCGTACTATCGACTTGCTCAGTAGCTTTGAAGCTTCATGAACATGCTCCACCTTGACCTAATGAAAACTTAGCCTGTTATAGCAAGGATAACACTAACTCCGTGAAAACCAAGTTTATAAATTTGAACATACAAAGGGAAGATTGTGTTCTTGCATAAAGATAATATAAAGGAACAAATACGAATTGCAAATGAAAACTGATTAGTAGGGAAAAGTCTACGAAAAATTGAAAAAATAATGAATTAATAAAATAAAACTCACTTCGCCTTCACAATGAAGTCGAGCAAGTGCTTCGGAAAGTCGTATTAGTGATTCTAGCTGTCGTACAGTTATTCGCCAGGATGACGTAGTGGAATTATTACTATCGCTCATTCGTAAACGTTTGTACTCACAAACCAAAAGTATTGCAGCTGCATCACTAATCTAGAAATTTGACGTGTATTTTACAGATGTGCTGACACATGGTCTTTAAAGAATTTGAATTCCTGGAATTTGTACTCGTTTGAAACAACATGTTCTTTTCTTTTATTAATCTGAGATATTCATACCCTCGGCTTGAAGCATCGAGCAAAAGTAATATAACGATGGATGTCGTCTAAACTGTAAACTGTTTCTAGTTTTTCTTGAGTTGCCAGTTGACGATGAGTGTCAAGTATGCGACGAGCTATAGCGTAATCTACGATCTGACAAACAGCATAATAAGCAATCACAGTCACATATTGGAAAATTGAGAAATACGAGAACATAAATGCTTCTTTCAGGTAAAATTCACTGAACTTGATCAGTTGTATTGATCTGATAAATGAAATTCGCTTTAAAATAAGCGACTAAAGTCACTACATCACATACCGATCATTTTTTGCCCCTTTCAAACTATCAGGACATTAAAAGTGGCTATAGGTATATTACATTACCTCATTGCATTCATCAACTAAGACGAAAAAAAGATCGAATCTAGACATGATAGGTGCAGAAAGCTGTATGTTATTCTTTAATGGCCGTGACCGATCGTAACGGCCACCAACCGGATTCGCTGCTGCCAGAATTGAAGCACGAGCATTCAACGTTGCTTTCACGCCAGCTAAATAAATAAAATCGTACTTTAACTCTATCTTATGAGGAATATGTCTGATAGCACACGAAATGGTTGCCTTTAAACAACTACAAAGAACAAAGGATTGAATTTTTTCACCTTTTGTTATCGATATAGTTTGCTGTTCCATGGCCTCATGAATTGCAACTTGATCTTTCACATCCATCTTGTCAAATTCATCAATGCAACAAACACCCTGGAACATTTATTCTCTAAAAATTATTAGAACTTAAATTTTATCAAATGAAATTTAACATCTTCAGTTCTGAATCTTTTCTTTTTTGCTTAAGATAACAAATTATTCAAATTAGAATATATTTTAAAACAAACATTGTCCGCGAGCATCAAAGCTCCTGCTTCAATAACAAACTCAAATGACTCTTCGTCTTTTACAACTGCTGCTGTTAAACCAGCTGCTGACGATGCCTTGCCGGAAGTATAAACCGCTCTCGGTGAAAAGTGCTCCACCGTCCTGAAATCATAGTAACGAGTAATGGATCAGCAAAAATAGCTAACAAAGATATTTAGTTTAAATACTGACAACTAACTTCAAAATTTGACTTTTCGCTGTGCTTGGATCACCAATCAAACAAACATTTATATCACCACGTAAGCTAGTCCCTTCTCCTTCACTTCGTTTTTGAACACCACCAAAAAGCATTAAAAGCACTCCAAGTTTTACCTATAAGCAAAACTAATATTCTAAACAAGGTCTTTGAGCTTTTTTCAAGTCCAAAAATCCTTTGGTCCAAGCCCACAAACTTTTATTACAAACAGAATTACGGCGAACTTTCCCACAAACAAAACTTTGAGGATATGAAAAATGAAACAAACATTCATCAAATAAGCAGCGAATAAAACAATAAATGGTGAATAACCTCGTCATTGCCATAAATATCTGGGAACAAACTATGAATAAGATTCTGGGCGATTGATTTATCTTCACTCATTTTACGCATCACCTTTTTTTCATTTTCCGATAACTGAGACCACAACTCATTGTGGTCTAAATCTTCGTGTGCGAGAACTCGACTACCAAACTAGAAGCAACATTATGATTAATAAATTGATTTCATTTCATATCATCACTTTTTCTTATTCATGGATAATTATTTGAAATTTTCAATCATGAAAACTCTCCACTTATTGCTATGGAAAACAAGAGCTTTAATCCAAACTTTTCACTTAAATTTAATTCTGCTCTTTTAATTCTTCGTTTTTTTTCAGTGGTCAATATCGACTTTCATTCGAAAAAAAAACCAATTGTAGATCATCAAATAAAAAAGATTAAGCATATGATTAGCATCAAACCGAAGGAACTGAAGCCGTGACATTACATGCCAGGAATGCTAATTTGTAGTTCATATCTCGCACGCCCAAAGCCTTCAGGCCAGTAATACCCTCTTGCTCCTTTCCTATACCACGACGTCGATTACGACTGGGAGCTTCTGCTCGAAGACCTCAAAAGGAAATAATTTGGAGTTTCCTTTATACAATTGAAATTTTAAATTTGAACTTAAAAATGAGAGACTTAATACCTGGCGCACTCAGCTGAGCTACATCTGGAATAACAATCAGCGCACCGACGAAATCGCACCGGTCACCCGGCTGTATGGTTTCAACGAGTTCACCGCGTAAGATAACATCTAAACTTAATGGGATACTACCTCGTGGCAATTCTGCCTGTGTCTCTTGCATACGTATTTTCTGAAAAAAAAAAAGTTGGTGTTCAGAGTAAATCATCATCCAGAAACAACAAAAAGTACAGGTGTTCACAAATACCTGAAAATCGATAAATGATGATTCGTAGATATCAAGCTGGAAATGACCACGATTACTGCATTGCTGATTTGAGCACTGCGCCGGCTACAAATCTGTCTTTTTGATAAGGCTATCATAAAATTTACAACATTTATAAGACAAAGTACATTCAGTGACTCGCTAGTCGTGAAGAGAAGCATATCATAATTTTACACCAGCTTTCCAACTCACCAATTCAATGCATCAAGAACGAATTATAAATTCTGATGAAAAATAATACCGGTGTGTAACGAAATTGTTGTTCGACATTTTTTACTTTCGTCCCGCAGTCATCGCAAATGAAAACTCCTTTATACAATTCAGGATGAACTGGATGTGTCCGCACCACTTGCCCCGAAATACACGTCAAAGCACCAATTTTACTAGCTGTCAGCTCACGCACCCTAGATAAAAACAAATATTAGGCAATTCGGATGCAAATTTCGGATAATTAATGAGCAGAATAATGCTTCCTCACTAACTTTTCTTCCGAAAAGGAAAAACAAGCATAAAGGTGCACAGGCTTAATCAAAGAAGGATGAGATCGACGATACCTAAGCTTATTTCTAATTTGTCCAATACTGACATAAAATTCCTTTCGTTGCATTCGTTGTCTGATATTATCATCGTTGCAACCATCCATGATAGTCAGATGCAACGATTTACATAGATATGGATATAGTCTGCAAAATATGACTTGTCGGAGATACTTTGAAATTCCAAACATTTTCAAACTAATTTTATGACTTTTCAAAGACACGAGAAGAAATTAGAATCATAAGTTTTACCTATAAAACTGCAATTCAAGCGCTGATGCCAGCGTATTACTGAAAGAGAAAAGGTCATCAAATTGGACAAACAACGTGTTGCGTTCTGGATGATACAAATGCGGAATTTCTTCCTTATAGATGAACGTTCCATTAGCATCTTCGAATCTAGCAAACAATTTTCGTTTAATGTTTCGCAAAGCTTATGTGAGATGAAATTTAAAATAAAAAATAAAATTCAAACAAAACTTTCAGACGACATCAAAAATTTTGAGTAGTTTCGAAAAATATCTAAAGAGCTGATTTTAAAAATAAATGAAACTGATTGATAAGGGAAAAAGTATTTTTTACTCATTAATGAACCGATAGAATTCATTTTGTACATGTATTCCTTCCGAATCAGTAATTTTTGGAACTACAACACTGCTATCCATTAATTCGCTTGCTGTAGAAAACTGGATGATATAATTCCTAAAAGCAGAAGTATTACTCAACATATCCTTTTAAAAATCAAATAACATTTAAACTGAAAAGTTACTAAAACGATTTGCAACGTTCCTAAAAATAATTAAGTGATTAAATTCAAAAAATATTTTGTACTTGAATAATTAACTCAAGTAATTGGGAGCACTTCATAATAAAATGATAAAGCCCGAAAAAGACTCTCTACACCAGCAATAGACTAGAAATATTTTATAATAACGTAATGAAGTCTAGGAAATGTTTTCAAAATAGTTAAAATTTACAAAACACTTCCTAATTAAATAATTGATTTTTCCTAAGTATAATTCCAGCTCATATTATATATTGATAATCTTGGTTGGATTAATTTATGCCGGTAATATTTTAACCGATTTTTCATTCAGTTCTGCGGTCTCTTCATTACTTTACCATCTTTTCTCCTTTTAATTGCCATTCTAATTCTAATACTTTATTAGTAATCAATAATATTTTCTATTCATGACCATACAATATTTCACATTACATCATTGATCTACTTCCATCCTATCCATCCCACTGATCTTAAATCTGATCGATTTTAGGAGCCCTTCTCAGAATGAGGGAAAGATCACCTATTCTTCACCTCCGAAAGTTTTCGGGAGGCGCTTGCTACACAATCCGCGACCCAAACCAGAACTAACTCCCGGACAGCGTCAGCTGCCAGCAGAAAACGACTTCTTGCTACTTTTGGGCGCAACATATCAAGCATTACATGCATTGCCCTAATCGGTTCTCGTCTTACAAAGCTTTTCCAGATATTAAAATTCAACCGTCAAGCCAAATGAACATACAATGACTAGAGAGAATTGCGATCTTTGCTAATAATTGATCGCTAGTGCTTTCCGAAACCGTATTCGTTCCGGTTCCAGCACTCCCAACCAACTTCTTTCCTCCTGATATCTGCCCAAATCCTGAACACAAGAACACAAGAATTATAAATCATCGGATTTATAATCTGCCCTTTTCCGCCCAGTCCGTTCTGCAACAAACTTGGTTCCACGCCATTTTGTGGAATCGAAATTTTCATACTACCCGATCAAGACGGGCCGTTTAAATAGGGAAGAAATTATGAGTCACGAGGTTTAAGGATTTCTGCGTGATCTGTTGATGAGGTTAGGTGGCTCGGTCGTTTTTGGTAAGCTACCAAGTTAGGGAACGGTTGTTTTGTCATTTCTTTCTGTCACATTTTTACACAGTGCTGGTGATTAACTCTTAAGTATATTATGAAGATAATGAAGAATTACGTGGGCATTGCTTTCTCGTTGAATTTCTGTCGTAAATGATGGACGTACGTTATTTGTCTAGTGATTATTAAAAGTTTAAAATCGTTACAATTTGATCACTTTGTATTTTTGGGATACACTCACTGCCTTGTCCCAGTATTATAAATTTGATCCTTCTCTTGTTTTTGTTGAAAACCTTTAAAGGGCAAGAGTATGCAGGATTTGTTCTCACTCAGTAATCGAATTATTGGAATTTTTTAATCATTTCTTCATCCATCATAGTCGAAGTAAAATAAAGTAGATCCCTAATGTTTGTGTGAATTGGATGTCACAATCTTCATGGGACAGAAGTGCACAGTAGTTTTCCCTTTTCAAAATTGGATTCATTTACGAGAAACAATTATAATCGATTTTTTATGATCGATTATAATCTATGTATTTAGGGTTTACCAGATTCACTCAATAATGGCTTCTTCGTCACGTCGATTAACAAAAGTTTGTTGGTTTTCTTTGAACTTAAAACGATTTTCATAAAAAATAACGGAATTAATCCAAACATTAATGCATGTATGAGATAAACTTTCGCATAATGATAGGTTTTTTGGCAAACCGTTTACCTTTCTTTTTTTTTTTTTTAGTTTGCATAACAGCCGCTGTCATCATATTTTTGAAATGTGATCCTTTTGTATTGGCAACTGTATACGTTTGACTAGCGACAAGGGCCAAAATTGCAAGGAATTATTTAGTCATTCTGAAAATTTAATGATTGTTTGTTTGGTGTTTAAGTTTTCATTCCTTGTTGGTTTCTAGCCGTTGTTGTATTAAACATATTAGTACCTTTTGTAGGAATTGACAGATATTCAGTCATCTGATTCGAGGACATTTTGCTGTGTTGAATTTGATGAAAATAATTTGCTCCACTGGACAGGTCTTCTCGTCCCGGTAGGTATATTATTAGATAAGTAAGCCATAGCACTGACTTTAGGACTTGAGTTATATAGGGAAAGTTAACCACCGGAAATGCCTTTTGTGGATAACTTCTTGTGTTTATATGAAGGCTAATGAAAACCAACGGTATATTTATTAGTTATTAAAAGGATAAGGTTTTTTTTTTTTTTAAATTATGACTTGTAATATTTGCAGGATAAAGAACCATACAACAAGGGAGCATTTAAAGTAGCTATAGATTTTCCCGTAGAATATCCGTTTAAACCGCCCAAGATTACATTTTTGACGAAGATTTATCACCCAAATGTTGACGAGAAAGGACAAGTATGTCTTCCGATTATATCACCTGACAACTGGAAACCTGCTACCAAAACTGAACAAGGTCATTTTTTGCACATTGAGGTTTGGTTTTGAATGGAAGGTTTTACTCAGCATTTTGAGTCTGACATTTTGGTGATACAACTTCGAAATTATAATTTCGTTATCAATTCAAACTCTTAGTAGGTACAGAAGTACACATCTCATTCCACTCACAAATGTTTTTTTCAGTACTACCTATAGTCTGTAGTAGTAAGAAGTTTGAAAGCTTATAAGAAGCGATAAAATATAACTTACTCGTACTTTGCTATCGCGCAATAGTTCTATTCTTCTGCCGTTTTGGGAAACCAACTTTCCAGTTAATTATCAAGAATTGACACGTTTTGTTTTGTAATGTCTTAGTTGAGCACCGTGTACATATAAATATATATATAGTACATAAACTATATATAATGAACTTAGTATACTTCCCTGCTTTGCTTGTTTCATAAGCTATTATTCTGTACTGTATTGTATTTATAGTGCGGCCAAAAACTGAAGGAAAAGTGATTTTCAGTGATGAATGCATTGCTTGGTCTGATTACGGAACCGGAACCAGATCACCCGTTACGAGCGGATCTTGCCGAAGAATTTACGAAAGATAGGAAAAAATTCAATAAGACAGCAGAAGACTACACGAAAAAATACGCAGTAAAACGACCGGATGGTTTTTAGAAGGAATTAATACGAAAAAATGTTTCCAGTTTTTCCGGATATTTGTTTGTTACTGTTGTGGTGTTCTTGCTCACTTTTGCAATAATATCGTTTACTCTTCAACATACTCTTCCCCTTTTTCCAATAGTTTTTCAAAAGTGACTTGCGCCCAACACTTTTTATCACTTGCATAATTGCAAAAGAAGCATGCCCATAAATGTGTCGAATTGTATTTGATACCGTGAATGATTTACTGTCGTTATTCTCATACTTTGCATTTCTTTTTCTTTTTTTTTTTTGTTTTGTCTTTTCCAGCTTTCATTTTGGTACGGTAGTAGTATCCAAATCAAAATATCGTGAGATCGAAGAAAATACCATGTGACTTGCAGTTCTCTTTTTGTTGACATATTATTTTTACTATAATAAATAACGAGAATATTCAAATCTTGAAAACTTTAACAGTATTTAGAAAAACAAGTTTTTATCGTACTTTTTTTTGTACTGATTATTTTTACTATAATAAATAACGAGAATATTCAAATCTTGAAAACTTTAACAGTATTTAGAAAAACAAATTTTTATCGTACTTTTTTTGTACTGATTAGGATGAACTTTTATTTCAATATAAATTTCTAAACTGAAGTGATGATGACCGCTTCAAAAATTATAAAATAAATTTAGCCCGAAATAACTTCGTAATAAAGTGAAGTTTCCTTCACTATATAAACGCGAAGTAGTCAGTTTTATTCATATTTTTATAGAGTGGCTATAAAATAAGCTATTGTCGCCTAATACGTGTATCGTCATTAGAAATAAAATCACAATACGATGGATTTGTGCATCTTTACATTCACTGGTTAAACCTGAAACAGTTAAGTTGCGCAGAAGGATGGCGTTAACACAAAAATTCACATAAATTGAAACTAACAGGCAGTGTTAAGGTATCTTGAATCATAATTCAAAAGGTATCAGTGATATAACGCTCACATCTGGATACTTGACTACGTAATGCTGAGCGTTTGTTGTGAGGATCCGCGTGACCTCTTTCAAATAAAATTTCGTTAATTTACAGGCGAAAGAAAGCAGCAAATAATTGATCGGATGGACTCAATGACAGTATTGGTAACCGGTGGGACAGGCCTTGTAGGACGATCTATTGAGAAGGTGGCACTTTTGTTTTTCCCCCTGTTACATAATTTTCATGTTTTAATCTGAGCACGATTCTTCATATTCATAAAATATATATTTTAATCGAGGTGGTAAAAGTAATGGTAGGTTAGAGGAATTTTGTCGTTTTTATCCTTTCAAATCTGAATTGCTCACTACACACTGATAACATCGAATTATAAAACATACAAATTCGATGTTGTAAAAAAAGAAAAAAGAAATTAGAAGTAGAAAGTCGTTAAAAAGTTATTTTTACCGTGCAAGTCCCATGAAGATGAGTGAGTTATTAAGCAAAAGTGTTACTGCTTGTGTTGATATTACTGTCATTACATATCATTCTGTATATCAATCGATTGTGGTAACTTTCTCAGAAATTTAGTGCATCTCATTTCCAAATTTCCGTTGGAAAAATTCATTTTCAGTAATAAAAGCATTTGAAATTATGATAATTACAATTTAATATGAGGATTAATTCCATCATCAGTTTATTCCATCACAATACATTTAGTAAATGAATTTGGCAAAAGTCTTTTTGCAGATAATAACAACTGAAGAACCACGATCAAACGAAAAATGGATTTTCATTGGACGAAAAGATTGTGATTTAACGGATGCCGAAGCTACAAAAAAGCTTTTCCTGAAGTATAAGCCTTCTCATGTAGTTCATTTAGCGGCCATGGTTGGCGGTCTTTTCCACAATCTCCATTGTAATCTGCAATTCTTTCGGAAAAACATGGTAATTCGGAACATACTTTGTAACTTTATTGAACCTTTCCCGTTCTAGGCAAAACAAATAGAGCAATTCTGCAGACTCATTAGTCGAGCACTTTTTCGAATCATGTTGTAAATCTGAGACTCTAGTGTTTTCATCATAGTCTGCCAGGAAAGGACTCGAACTTGTCCGCCCGTTTGTTGTCATTTAAGCATGTTACCAGTACACCACATCCATACTAATATGCGGTCAGTATGAATGTTTCTGTTATTGTGATTGCTAATTTAACACAATATACTTGCTTTTCTGATCAAACAAAATAATCAAGTTGATAATATGAATGTCACAAGCTGATTTTAGAATCGTTTGAAGTTGTTGGGAAATTTAATTATATTGTCTTAACATATTATGTTATGGTGGAAAGATTATATTTAAAGAGATTTGTTTCAGCAAATCAATGACAACGTACTGATGGCATGTAATGAATTTGATGTTGTAAAGTGTATATCATGTCTTTCAACATGTATCTTTCCAGACAGAACTGCATATCCAATCGATGAAACTATGGTAAGTGAGATTTTTCGCATGTACCTAATTCTTATTACGTCAGCTATGGTTATTCTATCATGCATTACATCTGCTCGTGATATAGTATATATGAGTGATCGAAAATTAGATTCAAACTGTCCCATTTACTTTATTAGTTGATTTGTTTTGATCGGTCGGTGTATGGTAATGTCATTTTTAAATTTTCATTTTCCATGCTTTATCATTATCCAGGCACTGGCTATCCATTGCGTTGTCGTTGTGATATGTTTCGTCTAAATCAATTTTCATGAGAAACATTTATTTTCATATTTTCACTTGACAATGTGGAAATTGGATAAATGATATCTTTGTAGACCAATTAACTTTATAGGTTCATAATGGTCCTCCTCATAACAGTAATTTTGGTTATTCATATGCGAAAAGGATGATCGATATACTTAATAGAGGATATGCGCAAGAATTTGGTCGGTAAGTGAAATATTGAAAATTGTCATTGCTATCCCACAAGTTCATCTGATATTGAACAATTTCCCGTCTGATATGTCTATTAGGAATCATGGAGTTCAAACTTATCGATACATATTTTTCTATAATTCTCGCTTGCATTACTTAGCTGCAATTTAGATTAAAAAAAAAAATCAGTATTTATTGTATCATTTTGAACAATTGGAACAATGTTATTTTCTTAACTTTTCTTTAAAATTTACAGGAAATATACTTCAGTAATACCGTGTAATGTGTTTGGACCACATGACAACTATAATTTGAAAGATGGACACGTCATTCCGAGCCTAATTCATAAAACCTATCTTGCGAAACATGAAGGGATACCCTTGAAGGTATGCATTTAAGCCACACAGTACTACATCATCATGTTAACATGGTTCAAACAATTCGATATTTCCTTTTCGAATTCTTTTTATCCATTTTCGTTTTTTTTCCTTTTTCTCTTTTTTAAAATTTGTTTTTTTATTCTTTCTGAGCAAAATTTCTCATTCTTCATGAAGAAGTAGATGAAAGGAGCAGAAAAAGGTTGCAATGACGTATGATTTTCAAAAATACAAAAATATAGAAAATACAAAAATACAGAATTTTCAAAAATATTGAAGATGTTTGAAAAAAACTCATTTCATTATTATGCTCCTTGCAACATTTTCGATTACCATTACTCATTCTTTTTTCAGGTATTTGGCAGTGGGACGCCCTTGCGTCAATTTATTTACTCCTTAGATTTGGCTCGACTTTTCGTTTGGGTCGTACGATCATATGAGGTTGATTTCTGGCACACTTTATTTAAATCGAGTCATTTTCTTTCTTAGAAATTTGTTTGCACTACTGTAGCGAATTTCAGGAAATTGATCCAATTATATTATCAGTAGGAGAGGAAGATGAAGTATCAATTATGGACGCTGTTCACGCTATTGTTAAGGCGTTCGATTTCAAAGTATCCTTTGAAATATATCCGTTTAATATCAAGGCCGACGGGAATTAACTTTATCTGTTGAAATGTTCTTAGCGAAATCTCAACTGACATTTATTTTTAGTGATTGGTAGATCTATTTGTGTGAAATTATTTTAGGGTGAAATAGTTCAAGACAAAACAAAGGCTGATGGACAATACAAGAAGACTGCATCAAATGCAAAATTACGCAAATATTTGCCAGATTTCAAGTTTACACCATTTGAAATAGCAATCAAAGAATCTGTTGATTGGTTTATCGCCAATTATGATAGTGCACGCAAATAATTGCAGATATTACTGCGAAATGGGTAAATTCTGCAATTGCTTTACTTATTTCTTGTCATTGTTAGCAAAGAATTAGAGAATTGAAATTCGTTATTTTTCTTTTTTATATTTTCTATATTGTGTTGTTCATGTCTTATGAATCCAATTGAACAAATTTTCATTGTTTCTCATCGCACCCTTTCTGTTGTATGATTGCTTTAACAAGGTAAATGCAGCTGTTGACTGTATTCATGATATATCAGAAACAAGTAAACGGTATTTGTTTGTTGTCCATCGTCAGCAAAGAACTCTACTATCTTGTAATGAGATTCTTTTCCCCTTTTTCTGCACTTTATTTTTTCTAAAACGATATATTTCCAAATTTAATTTTAATTCTGCTTAGATCAACCGTTATTGCATATTTTTTAATTTAGAAATGTAAGTTTTGTTATTTTTCATAATTCAATATAATTAAAGTGATTTCCAAATTTTCAGCTTTTATCTTGAATGTCATAAAATTTTTGCACTATTTGAGAAAGTTGCTTCAGAACTGATCTTAAGTTTGTAATTCGCTAGTTCACGTTTTTTTTTTTTCATTTGCATAATGAGCCATCTTTAAGGGTTAAATGCTATAATTACATGTTTAGAACTACCAAAGTATCCCATTCACTACCTATTAGAGGACAACAATAAATACGAATAATAGTTGCTGAACTTGAATATATTTTTTCAGCATATGTGTATTATCAATGGTAAAATGATTCCTGATAACTTAATTTGTTACATTTTTCTCAAACATATAAAGATCAACATGCGGAAATTAATTGGTTTTTCCTTCGTTTTTTTTTGACAGTTTTTTGTCATTTTTGAAGCCAACTGAATTTATATTTTAAATTTGAATTTACGTTTCTTCACTCCCTCTCTATATCTTATGTCCATAATTCTTAAAGAAAAAGTAGGCTTTTCTAGTGATTGGAATGTCCTAAGATAATGACAACTTTTATGGCATGAAGAAGTCTCTTTTGACAGGAATTATTCGATAACTTCACAAACTTTCATTGATTACTGTTATAGACAATATTCTTATCACCATAAGGAATGGTATCAAAGTGGTAAAATCAACCGAGCAAATTGATTACATTCAAATGTACAATTGTTATGAAAGAATGATAAGTCTTATTTTCTGCGAATAATGACCTAATTTATATATATATGATGTTGCATCATTTTCTTTTACATCTCGTATGATAAGATTGCCATCTGCATAGATTATTCGTTTTCCAAAACGTTCCACCTGTAATAGTTTAATTGTAACAATAATTAACTTATCTTGAATTGAAATGAAATGAAATACTTGAATTGCTATCGAGTTCCAATTATATCATATTCCAATTATATCATATTAGTTCCAATTATATCATATTACCATCAAGTAAATTATGTTTAAATGAATTTTTTTTCTTTACAATATGAATAGATAGAAGTGTTTTACCCCATATTTTGTTATTTTGCCATCTTTGATTATTGTCTTTTGATAGACAGTGCCATTTTCAGGATATTTTAACTCAATATCAATATTGCGAATGAATTTGTCGAATTTCAATTGTACTGTTTGGCCAAGCTTGGCTTCCACATTTGCTACATTTCCGCAAACTTGCTCATATGCAAGACATGTTAGCATAATCACTGCATTTAGAAATTTCATTCTTCTCTCTATCATGGAAATGATGAAAAATAATTTCGAAATAAAACTTTCGAAAAATCTCAATTGAAAATTTAACTGATGTCGCAATTCATTTTCCGTTTAAAATTGGAGTTATGTTAAAGTTATTACAATAAAGAAGAAACGAAAAAAATGAAACGCAAAAAAGATAAAGTTGAAAATAAACAAAATATGAATTTCTTCCATCAAATTTTAAAAATTGACAAAATTCCTTCCTAAAAATTTTAATAATAAACATAATTTTCAAAAATAAAATTTGAATTCATAAATTTCTTTCAACTAAATTCTTTCCGATTTTGTTTGTTTAACCTAATTTATATTATCAGTCAATTTCTTATCAAAACAAATAACGGAAGTGGAAAAAGATTTTTCTGGAAGGAGAAAATAAACCTTTGCATTTTGATTAGTCATTTTCAAATCGTCATTTATATTCTATATTTCTATTTTATCTGCTAATATTTTTATTCACTTGTTGTAATCCCAACAACAAATAGTATGCCGCATTTAAATGTAATAGATTTAAATATGTTTAAATTTCCAATCTACATCTATTTGGCTAATTAATAACTCCTTCATTAGTCTATCTTTAATGAAGAAGTTGAAAACTGACCTAAACCTACCGTTTTCAGGAAGAAAAAAAATTGCAAAAATCAAAAATCAAACTTTGATGTTAAAAGCATCAACATTTCATATTTACGTCACTCTTTAAGAAAAACAAAATGTAAATTAATTGAAAATTGATCCATCTTAAAGATTGTTCAAACATTTTAAGATTTCTTCCTTTTTCTATTTTATTAATCAGAACAATGATATGATAAATAAGAAATGGTACTGGAAATGAAAAAGGAACTCGTGGAGTGTTCCTTGGAAAAAACATTAATATCTGCTATCATCCTTCATTACTCATTTTGTTATGTGTCTAAAATCATTACAATCATTATTTTTTAAATGATTAAAAAGTATAATGAATAATTAATAATTAAGGAATATAACCGATAACGAACATTATCTTGATGATTATGCAAATAATTTCTTTGAAGTGAAATCAATTTCAAATACGGAGAAAAAACTATGAAATGATAAAAAGGAAGAAGAGATAGATATGATAAAGTTTCATTATTTAAATTAAAAGATTTCTAAGAAGTAAAAGAAGAAATAGCTCATTTCCAAATTTATTTTTCATCTTTAAATTTATCAATCACAAAGTTGACAAGTGATTATTTCACTTTTTTTTTCTGATTCTTTTCTGTTTTTGTTCTTTCCTCAAAGTGCTTAACAACAATTTTCAAATGATAAATGCGAAAATTTCCTTTGAACTTTTGTTGTCATCCAGCCAACTTTATTTCTTGTTTTTAAGCATGGTGATGTGATGTTAATTCGATAAAACTCTCATTTTTTCTCTTTTTTTTCTGGTCAATTTATAGTACCATTTTTCTAATTAATGAAATTCAGTTAAAATTCACTTTGCAAAATGCATTTTAACTTTAAATATTTGAAATATACCATTGATTTTAGTATTTGAACTTCAAAACTCTCTTTCTTTCCGTTTTTTTTTTGATAAATTTTTGTACGAATTTGAGTGAAATTAAATACTTCTTTACAAAAATCTCTGTGATAAAATTTATGTTCCATTAAAAAAGATGCAAATTTAAATTGATTTATAAGTAGTACAATCTAATCTCTCTCTCTCTCTCTCTCTCTCTCTCTCCTCCTCCTCCTTCCTTTCTTTC